ATTTATTTTAAACTTCTATTTAATTTATATAAATTATATCAAATTTTATTCTCTCAAGGCAAGAATTTATTTTATAAAATGTGATATTTTCTTTTTAGGAAAAGTTATGTTCAGAATAATATTAAATCAATAACTGCAAAAAAATGGAAACTTTCGAAATCTTGTGTGGCATTGCTGCCATAATTGTCGTTTTTTACTATTACTTTACATCGACGTTCAATTTTTGGAGTTCACGTGGCGTCCGCGGTCCACGGCCGATACCAGTATTCGGTACATATAAGGATGTCATACTTGGAAAAAAGTGCGCAAATCATTATTCGATGGAAGTGTACAATGAATTCAAAGATGAGATCTTTATTGGAATATTCGACAAAAGGACGCCAATTCTTATCGTAAAAGATCTAGATTTAATTCAAGATATTCTAATCAAAGATTTCTTAAAATTTCCAGACAGAGGAATAATAAGAACCATTCATGAAAAAGTAAGAATACTTTGAGCAATATTTTAAAAATAAGTAATACATTTTTCGAAAAATTATAAAGTCGATTGCACTTGATGAAAATGATCGATAATCGGAAACTTTAATAATCTCTAACAAAATCTATTCTTGAGCGAAGAATTCATTTGCATCCGATTACAATTTCGTTTTTGTCACATTACAGGCTGAGCCGTGGTCGGCAAGTCTTCTTCATTTAGAATTTCGGAGATGGCGACCTATAAGAACGAAGCTATCGCCAGCTTTTTCACCTAGCAAACTGAAGAAAATGTTCTCTTTAATATTGGAGTGTTCTAATCGTCTGAAACAATATACAGAGGAACTGGTAAACAGAAATGAGCCCATCGAATGCTGCGATCTAATGGCGAAGTACACGACGGAAGTTATCGGCACATGCGGTTTCGGCATTGATATGAATTCTTTGTCGGATGTAGATAGCGAATTTCGCAGGATGGGAAGAATGATGTTTTACAGTCCATGGCGCGTGATTCGGGACTCACTTAGAAATAACGTACCGTTGTTTTACGATATTCTCAGTTCCATTGTACCGCTAGCGGAATTTGTTGAATTTATCAGAAACCTAATCTTAAAGAGCATAGACTACAGAGACAAAAATAACGTGAGTAGACAAGATTTCGTTGATGCACTGCGCGAATTGAAGAAACAATCAAAAGAAATGGGCGACATCGGTAAGTAGCGTTCTGATACATGTTTTCGGTTATATAAAAAAAATGTTTTTGAATCGAAAACTATATATAACTATGAGATCTTGTCTAGTAATGTTAGAAATTATAATATAGTTCATTGCTTTTTTCGCTTTGATATTGTGATAAATGATCAGTTTATTATATGAATACATCAATAATTGAATTCTTAAATAAATGGAAATTTTTGAACAAAATTAAATTATCCACAATAGAACACAATTAAACATTCACAATTAATACAAAGAAATAATATGTTTCAGAAATTACTGAAACTTTATTAATATCTCAAGCATATATATTTTTCGCTGCCGGCTTTGAAACTTCATCAATGGCTTTAAGTCACGCACTTTACGAATTAGCATTAAATCAAAAGATACAAGACAAATTACGCGAGGAAATTGATCAAAAATACGCAACTCATGGAAGCAATTTAAAGGATAAGAATATTAAAAAAATGGAGTATTTGGATAAAGTTGTTAAAGGTACGTTGTTCGCAAAGCTAATAAAATATTAAAATTAAATAAAAAACTAAATATGAGAAAAATGTGCTGTTAATGAGTAAATGTAATTATTGTGAGCTTGAAACTATAACACTTTCAATGCATTTAACTTTACTTTTATAATCTATTTATCATTATTTTTCATATATGCAGAAACTTTACGAAAATATCCGGTGATAGCATTTCTACCAAGAAAATCGGTATCGAATTATACCTTTAAAGGTACCAATGTTAGTATACCAAAAAACTTAAATATATGGATTCCTATGTATTCAATCCATCGAGATTCAAGGTTTTATCCGGATCCCGAAGTTTTCGATCCAGAGAGATTTAGCAAAGAAATTAAGCAAACCAGGCATCCGATGACTTTTCTACCTTTTGGTGATGGTCCGAGAAATTGCATTGGTATAATAAAATAAATTTTTTAGATATTTTTTCAAGTTTTTCCTCCTCTCTTTCTGTTTACGTTGCTTTCAACCAAGGGATTTTCTTAATATAGACAGTTTTAATGCTATTTTTTTAATTTTCAGGTTTAAACTTTGCCTTTTATCAGGTTAAAGTTGGACTCATAACAATTCTACGAAACTTCAAAGTTGAACCTTGCGAAAAAACGCCAATACCCTACGTAATTAATCCTATTACGTTCCTGTCAGCGCCGAAAAGTGGAATACACTTAAGATTCACTAAAGTTAATCGAGCTTAATTTAAACTTTTTCACAACTAATTTCCATAGCTCTTTCTGAAATGTATAGAAAGAGACAAGATATCTGTTAATATTAAAATTATAATATTTATCATTATTTAGAGCATTATTATCTATTCATTTTATCGGTGATGCTTTGTTATATACGTTATGCAATTTTTAATTAATTCAACAATCTGATTTTTTGGTCTCCTTTTCTGTATTAAAAAATAATACAACTTTCTTTTT